CTCAGCGGAAAAAAACAATGGAATTTTGAAATTTGCAGGCAAATGGATGGCACTAGAAGAAACCATCCTGAGTGAGGTAACCCAGTCACAAAAAGACAAACATGGTATGTACTCACTCATATATGGATTTTAGACATGGATCAGGGGAGTGTCTGCTTATAATCCCAGTGCCAGTGAGTCTGGGAAACAGGGAGTTTCCTAAGAGATATACATGTTACCCCAGAGAAGTGGAATGAGGAAAGATCCCCTGAGCATGGGGGGGAAGAGGGAACCAGGAAAAAAGAGGGAGATAAGAGAATGGGAGAAGAAGACATGGGGGAGCAGGAAGTTTGACTTGAGGTAAGAATAGAGGAGAGCAAGATGAGAGATACAATAATAGATTGAATTATTATAGGTTTGAGGAGAGAGCTGACACTAGTGAGATCTACAGAGATCTACAAGGATAACACCAACTGGCAAACTAAGCAATAGTGGAGAGACTACATTAATAGCTCCTCCCTGATGATAAGGTTGATGACTACCTTATATGCCATCCTAGAACCTTTATCCACTGATTGATGGAAGCAGAGGCAGATACCCACAGCTAAACACTGAACTGAACTGGAACCCAGTGACAGAGATGGAGGAGTGATGAGCAAAGTAGTCAAGACCGTGCTGGTGAAACCCACAAAGACAGCTGACTGGACAAGGGGGAGCTGTTGAACCCCAGACTGATGGCTGAGAGGCCAACAGGGGACTGATCCAGACTCCATGATTGTAGTGTCAGTGAGGAGGCCTCAGAAATCCCTGTGGCCTTAGGTAGTAGATCAGTGTTTACCATGGCGTACGAATGAACTTTGGGAGCCCATTCCACGTGGAGGGATGCTCTCGCAGCCTGGACACATGGGGAGGGCCTAGGTCCTGCCCTGGATGAAATGACAGACTCTGGAGATCCCCCCAAGGAGGGCCTCACCCTCCCTGGGGAATGATGTGAGGATTGGGTGGGGGGCTGGAAGGCTGGTGGAGGAGCAAGGGAGGAGGGGTGGGAGAGGGAGATGGGTTGACATGTGAAACATTCATGTTTCTAATTTAAACATAAAATATATTGAAGAAAAAATATAGATTCAGACACCAACTACAAATAATTGAATCTGCCAGATGCACAACCAGATTTTTATTCATGTACTAGCACCTAGGGGCAAAATTGTAAAACATAATTAAATTACAAAACCACAAATTATTTCTCATAAATTTTGATGGTAAAATACACAATGCCATTATGTATTAAATTTAAATAGGTAAGAGAACCTCTAGGTTGACTTTAGAAGGCATATCTATTTTTTACTTTTATATTTTTGATTGAGGCTCTCTGAGGACACTTGGCCATAGGAAATAGAACAATTTTTATTTTAAAATTAGCTTGTAGTAAATTAGAGATTATCAGTATGGTTAGGAGTTGGGCTATAGTGGAATCCAGGAAACAGACTTTGTACAATGAAGGCCAGGCCATGACAAAGGATTCCAGACACCAAGATGCATTCAGAAAGGAACTCTTCCCATTGTCAGGATAGCAGAACGAGTTCTGGATCCAAAATGAAGACCATGTGATAAGAATAAATGTTTGACCATCTGTGCTGCGTGCAGTCATCTATAGGTCTCCTTGATGCCATGCCCCTCAGGTAGGTAAAAGACACCCATTGACCAACCTGGATCCTCTTGGTCCAGGCTATCTAAAGGTACCCTCATGTTGAGGCAGACAAGGAGATGCCATTTTGATGAGCAAATATATGATGGAGAAAACAGAGAGAAAGAGAAGCAGAACAGTTCATGTGCTGTAGAAAGAAGCAGTTTGAAGAATCAGTCAGTGAGGAACTGGCTGATGTGGGTGGTCTGCTTGTTAGCTGAGGTCAGGATGACTCCGGGCTCAGGCTGCTGCTTTGGCCCATGTCTGGGTCTTATGGTCCAACCGCTGCTGGTGTCTGTGTTGACATCCATGACCCATATGCTACCAAACACCACAATGATGCCTGAGGTCTTTTCTGCCTCCTTGTCCATTATGGAGCCTGAGGACCATGCAGTCACTTGGGTCATGCTGATCTGAATGACCTGTGCTGCTACCCACAGCCATGGTGACATGCAGGCACAGGTTGCAGTACAGGGCCATATCTGGGTCTGTGGCCCTACTACAGCCAGAGTCTCTTTTGGTATCTGTGCCTCCTGAATCCACTGAAGGCCATGCCAATGCTGGGGGTCTAGGCTGCTACATGGAGTCATGGTGGTTTTCAAAGGCCATACAACCACTGGGGTGATGCCAATCTGAGGGGCCTGCAATGCCACCTGGGGCTATGGTGACATCCTGGCTCAGGCTGCTGTCGAGGACAATATCTAGGTTCATGGTATTATCACAGGCAGGCTCTGTGTTGGTATGCATGGCCCATGTTACTACCAATGTCCACAAGGTTCCCTGAGTGTACACCACAGTCTGTGGGCTTGGTGTCTGGGGGCTGTGCTGCCACAGAGGCTATGCCAATCTGAGTGGCCTGTGCTGCCAAATGGGGCCATGGTTGCCCAGACCCAGGCTTCTGTCAGTCAGGATGAGACCATGTTGGTATTTGAGTGCAATGCTGCGACCATACAGATCTTGATAGCCTGTGCTTAAATCATATTTTTCCAGGATTTCTTTTGTGGGGAGGTAGATTTTTCAGGGGGGAAGGGTAGATGCGGAGAGACTGGGAAGTGAGCAGGATTCGGGTATATGCTGTGAAATTCCCATATAATCAATCAAGAATTACATTTTAAAAAGTGGTTGAATTGCATAGCATGTTTAGGGTAGAAAGATCTCAAAGAAACACTTAGTTTCTTATTTGTTTAGAAGCCCAAAATGGACATGGACCTCTTGGCAGCCTTGTTCTTTCTAAATATCAGAGATAACATAAGTGTTTGGAGGCTCTGATTCTGATCTCACTTCTAAGTGATTTAGGGTGACCTTTTCAAGAAGATGTTAGAGTAACTATAAAGCCCCATTGAAGAAAGTTCATGGTTAAGAGAAAGAATCTGTGGCCTGAGTGGAGACCTAACATTCCAGGTGGGCAAGATCTATCACCTGGACAAAGGACCCTCTTAAAACACACTAAAGGGATAGGTGGAATAAATTTTTCTAGAGATGCATGATGATGCAGCATACATTCAATATCAGGAGTCAGGAGTCAAAGGCAGGCAAATATGAAAGAGTTTAATGTCAGGCTTGTCTACATTACAGGGCAATTTACAGGGCTGTCAAGGCTATATACGAAGACCCTGTGTCAAAAACCAAACAAAAACAAAATTCCCTTTGATTTATATACTACCTATTTCCTTCCCAGAATTCTTCCTACCCAGTACAGTCCCTACATGCTATGTTCAGCTTCACTTGGGTCTGCTTATGTCACTATGACCAGATTAGACTCAAACATCTTTTCTGTTTTCCTTTCTTCTGTTTCTTTCTTTTGGATTTTAGATGATGACTGAATTTAAGTATTCCCTTAATGATAGTTTAGATTTCTTTGCTTTTTCTATAAATGCCCCCTTTTCACCACGTGTCAGTTTGTTCATCATATGTCTGATCTCCATGCCTTCTTAAACAGCATGAGTACATTTTCCCCTTTACTCTCCATTTTCCTCCTCTGTAAGGTTGCTGAGTTGTATACATCCCTGAACTTGAAAATTTCCCTCATAACTTGAATAGATTGTCTTTTAACTTTCATGTGAGCCCATTTTTAAATTCTTTTATTAATGAGAATAAGAACACCAAGAATAGAATCCAATAGCAATAGCATCACAGCTCTGAGTGGTCAGTGCTTATATAGAGGAACAACAGAATTCTGAGTTGCAGTTGTTCTTGTAATGGAGGCATCTGTAGCAGTCATCCACAGCTACTCACCAGTTTCTTCTAGGCTGATGCCATTCAAGAGAGGTGATTTTAGTATTTAGGGTTCAATGTGGCTAAAGATGAAGAGAAGAGTGGTGAAGAATCACCTCTCATTCAATACTAATTTCTCGTGTCTTAGTTCCTCAATGTCTCTGGTACTGCTCTCCTCCTGTCCTGAGTGGATGAGATGCCCATGTCATAAAAGTATCATCTCAGCCTAGTCTCTGAGTTATGCAGTCTTTCTGAGTCTATTCTTCATGATTGTAGAGAGACCAAAGCAGAAACAGTCCTTATTACAGGTCTCTGGAACTTCTAAAAATTGGTTCATAATTAGATGGCTGTTTCCCATGGATCTTTGTCTTCCACTTTCTGTGGTGACCTCCAACAGGAGCAGTGAGGTCAATATCCCACATCCTACCCCAGGACCTATGTCTTTCACAACTTTTAAGTCTTGTTTGGGTATTTTTGTTAAATCTTGATTGAACCCTTACTGCCGGACACACATTCTTCATTGGAGCTTGGGATGTCTCAAAGTGTTCTAAGAGATTCCTGAGGATCTTCAGCAACATTTCATCACCACAGATTCTAAATCTGTTTGACAAATGCCTTGGCCTTCCTACTGATTCTGTCAATTCTTTTTTTTTTATCATTTTTTATTTTAATTTTAAATAGCTTGTTTTACATGTCAATCCCAGTTCCCTCTCCCTTCCCTCTTCCCTCACTCCCCTTCCCCCCCTCCCTCCCACCCTATTGCCAAATCCTTCCACATAGGGGATATCTAGAGTCTGTCATTTTACTCTTGGTAGGGTCAAGGCACTCCCCTAAGAGTCCAGGCTGAGAGAGCATCTCTCTTTGTGCTATAGGCACATGAAGACAGTTTGTATACCAGGGATAGACACTGATCCACAGCTCAGGGCCCCATAGGTTGCCCAGGCCTTCTCACTGACACTCACATTTGGGGGGTCCAGATCAGTCCCATGCTGGCCTCCCCACTGTCGGTCTGGGGTCCAAGAGCACTCCCCTGTTCAGATCAGCTGTCTCTGCTGGTTTTGCCAGCCCATTCTTTGCCAATTTGCTCATCACTCCTCTCTCTCTGTCACTGGGTTCCTTGGGTTCAGTTCAGTGATTAGTTGTGTGTTTGCCTCTGCTTCCATCAGTCACAGGATGAAAGCTCCTGGATGGTTATAGACATCAAGTTCATTATCAGGAATGGGCATTCGAGGTGGTCTCTCCACTATTGCTTAGCTTGCCAATTGATATTATACCTTTAGATCACTCGAGGTCACTCTGGTGCCTGATCTGTCTTCGATCCTATGATTCCCTCTTCCCCCTATTCTACCCCCACCCCCTCAACTTCCTGTTCCCCCCAATTCTTAGTTAGTCCATATACTGATATCTCCCCATCTTCCCTGGTGGTTTAAATAAGAAATATTCTCTATACTCTAGGATATCTCAATACTTGGTTCCCAGGAGGTGGCACACTTTGGAGAAGTTTAGGTAGTATAGCCTTCCCAGAGGAAGTATGTCACAGGATGTGAGCTTTGATATTAAAAGCTCTTGTGATACTTTCAATTTCTTCTCCGTTTCATGCTCTCCACTGAGATTGTAGCTCTTAGCTTCCTGATCTGTCTTTCATGCCTCTCAGGTTTGATGGATACATATGAGTCTGGGAAAGCATGGCCAAATAAACCCTTTTATCTGTATATTGTTTTCAACATGCTGTGTCATGTTATCTACAGAATAGTAACTAATACAACTGACATCTCTCCCAACTTACTGTCAGACCTTCTGCTTCTTGTGCATGTAGATGGCAAAGGCACCAATTAACAGTAGCAGTTTGGATCCAAGAAGCACAGCTATAAGGACTTCAGTAGTATCTGATGTTTTGAGTTCTGGAAACGAAGTGACAGGAGAGACCATTAGAGAGGACACAAAGGGTTTATGATCAGAGAGCTTTACCTGTCCCATTTGTAGATCTCCATGCCCATCAAAGCTCTGAGGAGTTTGCATCTGTGTCCTTTCCCAGCTCTAATACTTCAAAGCAGAAGATATTGTATAAAAAGATTTCTAGTTTCCCTTTATTGTGAGCCTTTATCATTTATTGCAGAATTGGCAATTGATATTCTAGGTATCAACTCCGAATATTTGTTACTAAAATTTGGTTGCATATATAATATATACTGGGGGCTTTATATTCTCAAAAAAGCCCCAGGGAAAGGAAATTCCTTCTCACAGGGGCATCAGCAGTAAGAGCTACAGTCTCTGGGTCTCACACTACATAGCCTTAGCTTTCCCCTTTGATATAGCACTGAGAAACCCCCTTTAATTAGTTCTACAAGTCATATCCCCCTGAACATTTTACAAGTCACATTCAGGGGGAGATGTGAGGCGCTTGCCTAACTCTGAAAGATACGCAAGCCCTATTGTCAGAGAAGTGTTAAATGTGCCTGTGGATGTAAAAATTAGAAGTCTTGTGGAATAGGAAAAAAGTCAAGAACTTTTAGAAGAAGGAAATTTTGGAGACATTTTAGAAGGAACCTTGGGATAAGTTTTAGAAGGAACTTTTAGAGAATTCTTAGAACTCTAGAGAAAGTTTTAAGGAGAATTCTTAGAACTCTAGGAGAATTTCTAAGGAGAACTTTTGAAAGAGAATATTAAGAGAGAGCTTATAGAAGAAAAACTGTTAGAACTTTTAAGGAGAAATCTTAATGAAAGCTTTTGAGAGAGAACTTTTTGGGGAGAACGTTTCTTGAAGAATAAAGAGCCTCCATTGTTGAAGAATAAAGAGGCATGATGGGAATGCACATGTGAGCTGGTGGATTTCTTTTTGGCCCTCAGATTAGAACTTTTTATCAAGCCACTCACCCACCTGCTGTAAGTCATCTGCCTGATCCTGAGACCTTTGGCCCCACCATAGTTACCAAGATGTACTTCTAGAAAGATTCTGAAGGAGTTTATGCTTAATGCCGCATAGTGCTAGCTTTTATAAAAAAAAGCTTACACAAAGAAGCTATACTTCATGATAAATAAAAGACTCAGAGACAGATTTTATGGTTGAAGCTTCAAGCTGAAGTTCAGAAAAGCAAAGCAGCTGATCACTAGCTCTTACCTTCTATAGACTGAAAGGTGATCCTGGATCCACCAAACCCCAGATTGAAATCACAGACTACTGCTATGCTCTTCTCACAGTGGCTTGAGAATTCTGAGATTGACTATTGAATACCCTGCTCCTATCTTTTATATCTCTATTGAGAATTCTCTATTTAGTTCTGTACTCCACCTTTTAATTGGATCCTTCGCTTCTTGAGTTCTTCGTAAATTTTGGAGATTATCTCTCTGTCAGATGTGGGGTTAGTGAATATCTTTCCCATTCTGTGTACTGCCTGTTTGTCTTGTTGACTGTGTCCTTTGCCTTACAGAAGCTTCTTAGTTTCAGGAGGTTCCATTTGTTAATTGTCGATCTCAGTGTTTGTGCCACTGGTGTTGTGTTCAGGAAGTGATCTCCTGTACCAACTCGTTGAAGAGTATCTCCCACTTTCTCTTCTAAGAGTTTCAGTGTGGTTGTATTTATGTTGAGATCTTTGATCCATTTGAACTTAAGTTTTGTACAAGGCGATAAACATGGATCTATCTGCAGTCTTCTGCATGCCAGTACCCAGTTATGCCAGCATCATTTGTTGAAGATGCTTTCTTTTTTCAATTGTATAGTTTTAGCTTCTTTGTCAAAAATCAAGTGTTGATAGGTGTGTGGGTTAAAATCAGGGTTTTCAATTCAGTTCCATTGGTCTACCTGCCTATTTTTGTGTCAATAACAAGCTGTTTTCAGGACTATAGCTCTAAAATAGAGCTTGAAGTCAGGTACGGTGATGCCTCCTGAAGTTCCTTTGTTGTATAAGGTTGTTTTGGCTCTCTTGGGCCTTTTGTTTTTCCATATAAAGTTGGTTATTATTCTTTCAAGATCTGTGAAGAATTGTGTCAGAATTTTGATAGGGATTGCATTGAATTTGCAGACTGCTTTAGGCAAGATTGCCATTTTTATTATGTTGATCCTACCAATCCAAGAGCATGGGAGATGTTTCCATTTTCTGCTATCCTCTTTGATTTCTTTCTGTAAAGACTCAAAGTTCTTGATATACAGGTCTTTCACTTCCTTGGTTAACATTATCCCCAGATATTTGATGCTGTTTATGTCTATTGTAAAGGGTGATATTTCTCTGATTTCTTTCTCAGCCACTTCATCATCTGTATATAATAGGGCCATATATCTCTCTACTGCTGGGATTAAAGGTATGAGCTGCTATTTTTTATACTGATTCAATCTTGTACAGCCCTGGGTTGCCTTGAACTCAGAGAAATCCATCTGACTTTTTCTCCTGAGTACAGGGATTAAAAGTGTGGACCACCACTGCTTGATCTTTATAGCTTGAGGTTGACTTTGCTTTCTGAATCCTCAGGCAAGCTTTGATAAATCATAAATAATATATCACCCAGCAAACCTTCAAACTGATCCTTTTGTAAAGATTATTAACTTTTTGAAATTCAGTGAATTTCATGTTGCAATTACAGAGCCAAGTTTTCATGTGCCATATTCAGCTCTCTTAGTAGCCATACATCACCTCCATCTGTACTTTACATAAGAGTTTTGTGATCATTAAGTAACAATTCAGAATGTACAAGCAGAATATTAGTTTTCCTTTAGAATCTGTTAGCTTAGGAGAGCACTATCTTTCACCAACTCAGATGCCAAGCATGTTATCAGGTATCATCTGAAACCTCTAATTCTCTGCTGTGTTGTAAGACATCTTTTCTATGTTTCCCACAATGTAATGCAAAAATATCTTCACCTAACCAGCTTTCTTTGTTCTGTTCCTATAAAAATTGCTTAGAAATTTTTCCACAGTGGATAGTAACAATTCAAGGGGTAATACTTTGCTACCAAAATTTGTCTTGGATGCCAGATGCCTAGTGCTACTGTGTGGTGAGTCCTAAGTTTTATTTAAATTCTGTATGTATTTTTTCTAAAACTGAATACACACACTATCACATTGCTTCCTGGATGTTGTTGAACCATTTTAATATAGTATTTAAAAAACAAAATTGTGACTTCAAATTTTATTGAGCAATGGGACCTATAATGTTGAGGCAGAAATAAAACAGAAAGGATGGAAGCAGTATGTATGTATGGCTTGCTTCTCCACTAGACTTGCTTAAACATGACACATTTGTAGTAGCCATTCCTCTGCGACATTTCTTAGTAGCATACCATAATGAATGGAAACTAAAATGAAATGTTTGATGCTTACAAAGTAATTTGATAAATTTAATTCTATGAGGATAAAATGGTAAAGAGATTTGAAAGTCAATGAGAGAGGTGAGCTCAAGCCCCCACCTCATGACCCACTTCTGCTTGCCCACTCTGAGATTTCCTGGACTGGGGACAGCAGGCAGGTCAATTTGCTTCAGACTCACCAAGCAACTGCGTCTGCTCAAAGCACTGAACTAATCCAGCTCCCACCCAGCAGGAGGGGGGGGGAGAAGGGGTGCCTTAGACATGCCTGTACCCACCGTGAGACCGATCAGAGTATTTGACTTGCTTACACCCACCAGAAGAGAACTTGGACTGGTACCAACCAGGAGAGGAAGATACTGCACCTGTACCCATTGGAAGAAGGGATTTGAAGACGAAAATATAAGAACACATTCAACAACAGAAAAATCAATATGACACCACCAGAGTTCAGGGACTCTACACCTGCAAGACCTAAACATCCCAACACAGATGGAGTAGAAGAGAAGGATTTAAAAAAAAAACTTCATGAAAATGATAGAGACCCTAAAAAGGAAATGAGAACAGGAAATGAGAACATCTTTTAAAGAAATGGAAGAAGAGACAAACCAATAATTACAAGAAAAGATTCAAACAGTGCAAGGGTTGGAAGCTGAGATAGAGACAAAAAAACACAGTCTGAAGGAATACTGGAATTAGAACATATGGCTAAATGATCAATCAGATGCAAGCATAACAAACAGAATACAAGAGTTGGAAGAGAAAATATCAGGCATTAAAGATTCACTAGAAGAAATAGATTCATCAACCAAAGAAAATCCTAAGTCCCACAAATCCCTAACACAAAATATCCTGGAAATATGAGACACTATGAAAATGCCAAACCTAAAAATAATAAGTATAGAAGAAGATGAAGAAAACCAGCTCAAAGGAGCAGAAAACATATCCAACAAAATCACAGAAGAAAATTTTCCTAACCTAAAGAAAGACATGTCAATGAAAGTATAAGAAGCCTACAAAACACAAAATAGAGTAGACAACAAAAATGTCATCTTGGCACATAATAATTGAAACAAAAAAATCATATAGAATAAAGAAAAAATATTAAGAGTCAAGTAACACATAAAGGCAAACCTATCAGAATCACACCTGACTTCTCCATGGAAACTCTGAAAGCCAGCAGGTCCTGGATAGATATTCTACCAACAATAAGAGACCATGGATGCCAGCCCACATTACTATACCTAGAAAAACTGTAGATGGAGAAAACAAGGTATTCCATGACAAACCTGATTTAAACAATACATATCCACTAATCCAGCCTTAGAGAAAGTACTGTAAGGAAAACTCCAACCTAAGGAAGTGAACTACACTAAAAAAATGCAATAGGTAATCCCACTTTACCAAAACTCAAAGGAAAAACTGGGATAAATCCACAATGAATAACACCACCAGCAACAAATCAAAAACAAACAAGAATAAGCACTCAAAGGTCCTTAATCTCCCTCAATATTAATGGTCTTAATTTGCCTATAAAAACACACAGGCTAACAGAATGGATAGGAAGACAGAATCCAGCCTTATGCTGCATACAAGAAACACAACTCAACTTCAAAGACAGACATTACCTCAGAGTAAAGGGTTGCAATTAGATTTTCCAACCAAATGGATCCAAGAAACAAGTTGGTGTCACTATTCAAGTAGTTAACAAATTACACTTCAAACTAACATCAATCAAAAGAGATGAAAAAGGTCATTTCATAGTCATCACAGGATAAATCCATCAGGAAGAAGTCTCAATTCTGAACATCTATGACCCAAATACAAAGGCACCAATGTTTGTAAAAGAAGCATTACTAAAACTCAAATCACACATAAGAACTCACACAGTTATAGTGGGAGACTTCAACACCCCACTCTCCCCACTAGACAGGACCACCAGACAGAAACATACCGAACAAACAAAGGAACTAACAGAAGTAAAGTCCTAATTTGGTTTAGCAGACATCTATAGAACATTCCATGCAAACACAAAAGAATACACCTTCTTCCCAGTACCATATCGAGCCTTCTCTAAAACAGATCACATACTTGGCAACATAGCAAACCTCAACAGGTACAAAAAAATTGGAAAAACCTCCTGTATGTTGTCGGATCACCCAGGTTTAATTATAGAATTCAACAACAACACAAATTTCAGAAACCATACAAACATATGGAAACTGATCAACACACAATTGCAACATCCCTAGGTCAAGGAAGAAATAAAAAAAATACTTCCTAGAATATAATGAAAATGAAGACACAACATATCCAAACTTATGGGAAACTTTGAAACAATACTAAGAGGAAAGTTCATAGTACTAAGTGCTCACATGAAGAAACTGGAGAATTGTCAACTAGAAAATTAACAGCACAACTGAAAGCTATAGAACAAAAAGAAGCAAACTCACCCTGGAAGAATAGATACCAGGAAGTAATCAAACTGAGGGCTGAAATCAATAAAGTTGAAACAAAGAAAATAATACAAAGAATCAATATAACAAAGAATTGATTATTTGAGAAAATTAACAAGACAGACAAACCTTTATCCAAACTAGCCAAAAGGCAGAGGGTGAGAACATGCAAATTAACAAATCAGGAACATTAACAACAGACACTGTGCAAATCCAGAGAATCTTCAGGTCATACTTTGAAAACCTGTATTCCACAAAATTCAAAAATTTAAAGGAAATTGACAATTTTTTAGATAGATTTCATTTACCAAAATTAAATCAAGAGCATATAAGTAATTTAAACAGTCCTATAACACCTAAGGAAATAGAAGCAGTCATTAAAAGCCTCAACCAAAAAAAAAAAGCCCAGGCTCACATGGCTTTAATGCAGAATTGTACCCAAAATTCAAAGAGGAGCTAATTCCAATACTCCTCAAAGTGTTCTACAAAATAGAAGCAAAAGGTTCATTGCCAAACTCTTTTTATGAGGCTACAAGTACCCAAGCCACACAAAGATACAACCAAGAAAGAGAACTACAGACCAATATCACTCATGAATATTGTTGGGAAAATATTCAATAAAATACTGGGAAACTGAATCCAAGAACACATCAGAAAAATCATTCACCATGGTCAAGTAGGCTTCATCCCAGTGATGCAGAGATGGTTCAACATATGAAAATCTATCAATGCAATCCACAATATAAACAAACTGTAAAAGAAAAACCAAATGATCATCTCATTAGATTCTAAAAAGCCTTTGACAAAATCCAACACCCCTTCATGATAAATGCCCTGGAGAGATCACGGATAACAGGAATACACATGAATACAATAAAAGGATATTGCAGTAAACCAACAGCCAACATCAAACTAAATGAAGAGAAATTCAATGTGATTCCTCTAAAACCAGCAACAAGACAAGGGTGTCCAGTCACTCCATATCTCCTCAATATTGTACTTGAAGTTCTAGCTAGAGCAATAAGACAGCAAAAGGAGATTCAAGGGGATACAAATAGGAAAAGAAGTCAAGCTTTCACTATTTACAGATGATATGATAGTTTACATAAGTGACTCGAAAAACTCCGCAAGGGAACTCCTAGAGCTGATAAACACCTTCTGCAAAGTGTCTTGATACAAGGTTCACTTAAGGAGAAATCTTAAAAAGAGCTTTTGAGACAGAAAATTTTGGGAAGAACATTTCTTGAAGAATAAAGAGCCTCATTCTTGAAGAATAAAGAGCCATGACGGGAATGCATGTGTGAGGTGCATGATTTTCTTTTGGCCCTCATATTAGGACTTTTTAAGAAGCCCCTATTCTGCCTGTTGTAAGCCTCCTGCCTGAACCTGAGACCTTTGGCACTGCCACAGGTAACCAAACTGTCCTAGAGAGATTCAGTAGGTATTTGTACTTAATGCCATATAGTGCTAGCTTTTTATTTTATTTTATTTTGGTTTTTTTGAGACAGGGATTCTCTGTATTGTTTTAGAGGCTGGCCTCGAACTCATTGAGATCCACCTGCCTCTGCCTCCCAAGTGCTGGGATTAAAGGCATTCACCAACAACACCCGGCTTAGTGCTAGCTTTTAAGAACAGAAGTTTTTCACAAAGCAGCCAAACTATAGCATGATAAATAAAAGACCCAGAGGCAAATATCACAGTTCAAACTTCAAGCTGAAGATCAGAAAAGCACTACCACTAGCTCTTACCTCTAATTTAGACTGAAAGGTGATCCTGGTTCCACTAAATCTCAGACTGCAATCCCAGAAGATTATGCTTTCCTCAAATTGGCTGGAGAATCCTAAGTCTGACTACTGAAGATCCTGCTTCTATCTTTTATATCTCTCTCATGCTGGGATTAAAGCTGTGAGCTCTGTTACTCTTTTAGATTCATTCAATACTGTGTAGCCATGGGTGGCCTTGAACTCAGAGAGATCTATCTAAATTTGTCTCCTGAGTCCAGGGACTAAAGGTGTGTGCCACCACTGCTTGGTCTCTATATCTTGGGGTTGACTTTGCTTTCTGAATCCTCAGGCAAGCTTAACTTGGAAGCAACCTAGATGTCCCTCAACCGAAGAGTGGATAGAGAAAATGTGGTACATCTACACAATGGAGTACTATTCAGCAGAAAAAAATAATGGAATCATGAGATTCGCAGGCAAATGGATGACACTAGAAGAAACCATCCTGAGTGAGGTAACCCAGTCACAAAAAGAGAAACATGGCATGTACTCTCTCATATATGGATTTTAGACATAGATCTGGGGAGTGCCAGCCTACAATCCTATGGCCAGAGAGTCTGGGAAACAGAAACTACATTTAGTGGCTGGTTAAGTACTGAGCTGAACTCAAGAAAGCCAGTATCAGAGAGGGAGGACTGATGATCAAAGGGATTAAGACTGGGCTGGTTTAACCCCCAGAAACAGCTGACCAGACAAAGGTTAACTCTTGAATCCCAGGCATCAGCCTGGGAATCCAGCAGGGGACTGATCAAGACCCCCTGAATCTGGGTGTCAGTGAGGAGGCCTAGGTAATCTATTGAGCCTTGGGCAGCAGATCAGTACCCATACCAAGTATACACACGGACTTTGGACTCCCATAGAACAATGTGAGGTGCACTCTCACCCTGAACTCTTGGGGAAGGGTCTAGGCCCTGCCCTATATGAAATGACAGACTATGGACACCCCCATGGAGGGTCTCACCCTCCCTGGGGGAATGAGGGAATAACGGGGGGGGGGATGGAGGGAGGGCACGGGAGGAGGGGAGGGAAAGGGAGAGGGACCTCGTACTGACTTGTGAAGCAACCTTGTTCCTTATCTAAATTTAAAATGGAAAAAATATTAATAAAAAAATCATAAATATCACCACATGGAAACTTCAAACTGATCCTTTTGTTAAGATTATTCACTTTTTGAAATTCAGTGAATTGGAGAGATTGGCAGGTTGTAATTCCTAAGCCAAGTTATCATGGACCATATTCAACTCTCTTAATAGCCATATATCACCTTCTTCTGTACTTGTCATAATAGATTTGTGATCTTTAGTTAAATAGTTTGGAATGTACAAGCAGAATATTAGTTTTCCTTTAGAATCTATTAATGTAGGAGATTACTAGCTTCTACCAACCCAGATACTAAGTATTGTATTAGATACCATCTGAAACCTCTAATTCTTTGCTGTGTTGTAACACACCTTTTCTGTTTCCACCAATGTAATGGAATCATGGATGGACTTATGGTTTCCTTTTTTCTGTTCATACAAAAAGTGCATAGAAAATTTTCCAAAGTAAAAGGGAAATACTTTACTAGCAAAATTTTACTTGGATACTGTTGATGACTTTGCTCCCAGGCACCTTAGATTTCCCTTTTGTATATTAATTAGATCAGATCACATGGTTTCAGGGCAAGAGCTCAATAAATCTATTGCTTCCCCATACCTAGATTCCCTGTCTATAAAACTGATGATTCATTGGGGGGACTGATGAAGGGAAGAGATCACACCAAATCTAAAGCGGCATGTAGTAAGTGTGGAGTCAGGATCTGGATACATAGATATTTGTCCATTATAGCAAAACTGGAGGAAATGAGGCAACTGTTAGGATCACTCACAGTCATTTATACTCCCAATGCATGCTAAACTACAGGTCCTTATGAGACCTGTCAGAATTAATCTCAGGATATAGCATAGGTCACTGAGGACTCAGATGTTCATGGAAAAATGTAAAATGGAATAGAGAGGGGGAGATACTGAAAATGAAGGTGATGAACATGAGGATTTAACAAATGTTAGGTAAAAAAGGCAAGAGACAGGATGCTACGGTAGGATGATGACTTCCTTTCTCCACTATTTAATATGTGTAAATGTTACCAAATAATGGATAGATGTATGAAGTCTGTGAGAAGTTGTCAATGAAAGCTGACTTTAAAGTTCTACTTAGTTTATAGATATTTGAATTATCACACAAGTGAAATGATGCATTTGGCATTAAAAAGGGATGAAAAATTTACAAACAGCAAAGAAGCTGGGGTGCAGACACACTAGATATGCTGCCAATACCTTGTTCTTTCTGCTGTGTACTGATTGCCAATGTATGCAATTTTAGGATTGGTGGTTGTCCATCATGCTCAACTTGGCACGTGAGGATGGTGTCCTCCTCATGGGCAGACATTTTCACCAAGAACAAGCTGGTCCAGCTGTAGGTTCCATCCTTGTTTACTGTGATGGTAGAAGGGTATTCTGTCCTTGATATTTTTCCATTCTCTAACCAGGTCAACTGGAGCCTCGAAGGGTAGAAATCCTTCACCTGGCAGGTGATACCTATCTGATTCCATATCATTGATTGCTGCTGGCTGATTTCCACAGTGGGAGGAACTGAAACAGTAGAATGAGAAGTTGAGACTTCAGAGCCTAAGCACAGAAAGAGCCCAAAGGATAAGCTGAAGTATGGAGGAACCATTCCTTTTACATCATCATGGGGACCAGATGATAGTTTGTGTCAGAGGAGACCCTAAACACAGCTGCTAACATGTAGTTGCACAGGCTGAGTGTCACAAAAAGTGAAATCAAAAAGCATAAATCCCAGGTGCACTGGGAAAGCAATAACAACCATAAAATGCATAAAAATGAAAAGAAATCGGGGTGTGGCCCATTATCAGTACAGCTATAATTTCTTCTGTTAAAATAAATACAATTTCCTTTATGTACTGATCATAGTCTATGATCCCCACTTTGTGCATGAATGGTTGCTGGGAACTTTGGAACAAACCATTTTGAACAGATATGAGCTTGAGCAGGGATTCAGAGTTATTTACCTCGGATGATGTCAGACAAGTTGGCAGTCCCAAGAAGAGGACCTCCTTTCAAAGTGACATGGGACACCTCGCAGATAATCTGAGAGTGTATGTCCCTAGTTCCCAGCACCACCTGGGCTGTGCTGGAGATATTGTAGGAGGTGCTTTCTCCTTTGGGGTCCACAGTAGTTTGGATGTGAGAGAGTTCATTTCCATTTTTGAACCACTTCAGTGTGATGCTCCGAGGGGAGAAGCCATGGGACTTGCATATGAATCTCACTGTCTGTTCAGGAGTAACTCTGGCTTCAGGGCCCAAGACCACAGGAGGAGATGGCTTAGCTACAAAAGAGCATGTAGACAAGGCTGTGATTGTGGTGGCCACCAATGATGACATAACATTGTGAGGAACCTTCTTAGATACTATCACCTTTGTCATCACTTATTATGGTCATGAGATCAATACAAGAGCTTCAGCGACACTAAGAAACTGCTCTACAAGGGTCATAGCTGTGTCCCAGACACAGACCTTAACTATTTATCCTCTTTGTTTTGTAATTTTTTTTATTGTTTTGGCAGGGTTTGTCCTGGTTCTTCTGTGGTATCCCTTGTTCTTTTGTCTCCACAGTTTAATAAATATCCCCAGAGGTCAACAAGGAAGAGCAAGACCAGGTAGACATCTCAGCCTGGGCAAAGGAAGACAATTGCCAATGTATTTTATATTTTCTGTCATCTGCCCCTGCTGGCTTCCTCTGGCAACTTTGCAAATTTAGGGAAAATGTTTACAGATTTATAATGGTAGTATCCCAGGAAATAAATGACATTACAGAAGGACCACAAAGCTGGGACCCTTCCTGCTCTGCTCAGTTGTTTGTTTTTTTCCTTTTACCTACATGTTAGTAGGTGTCATCTGTGCCATGTCTGAATTTAAAATTGAGAGCTTACTAGTCTACATCTCTAATAGTTTGAGGTTTAAAACAGTGATTACCCTCTGCAGAGGATGACAGAGGTAGTTTGTTTCCTACTTTTTAATCATAAGAGACACAATAAGAAGCCTGTTGAGCAGACAGAATCACTCTCTGGTTAAAAGCACATATATGGGTGCATAGTGGGAGGAAGGCAGTGTCCTCTGTAGATACCTTATGCTGAAATTATTATGTGTAACAGTCTGCATTTGGAAATATCATACATATTTGTATTTGTATATATGTGACCTCTTATCAAACGTTCATCAAACCAGGAGTGTAAACAAGTGTTATTTGAAATCAGTCTATCCAAACATAAGCACAGATGACATCCCTACAGGTTTGAGGGACCAGTCACTGTTTATTAGGAGTTTCTGCCTGTCTTGACATTGCCCAGTTGCCAATGCATGGGGGTGAACCAGTTATACAGACCAAATGACAAAGCTCATCTCACACCCAGCAGGTGATTAATTTGAATCCTGATATTTATCTAATGACTATTAATGTCTTTTTTTCTTAAAAACTGAATAAAACATCTCCATAGAGAGATGAAATTGAAAGTAGAATCTCATGCCTAAATATATGCTAGCAAATCCTATGCATTACTGCAGTTGTTACTAGATGTGACATCATATATTTATTCTTTGCCACTGTTAGTTGCAACAAAATTCATAAAGGCATAATACGACATGTCTCTAGACTTTTCTTACATCTACTCTAAGCAACCTATGTAAAGAGCAGAGCCTCTATATCAGTGGTTCTCAACCTTCCTAATGCTGTGCCCCTTTAACACAGTTCCTCATGTGGTAGTGACCCTCATCCATAAAATTATTTTGTGGATGTTTCATGAGCATAAGTTGTACTATTATAATTCATCATATAAAGATCCGACATGTGACCCTTGTGAAAGTATTCTTTAATCAGCAGAGGGGTTGCGATCTACAGATTTAGAAACACCTTTATACCCCTACATCTTCTTCTTAGTGATCTCAATAAGCTGGTCATTGGGTTTTACAGTGTCCAGCAACTGCTCCATAGGGGCTAATTATAGAGAACAGATGATCATGAGATGGTTGAAGAACAGAGTTCATGACATACTGTGTCATTAAGGTAGAGTTCTGAGTGAAAGAGAGAAATGTCTGGCCTCAGAATTTTTTACTGTAATCTTGTGCAATATAGGGAAGTTGTGTCATGAGATTGGAGTTGAAAAGGGTTTTGCCTTGGTTGGATCTTAGGGACCATGGGGGTCTCCTCCTTGAAAAATGTAACAGTCACATTATTTGGATTTTAGGATATTGTGTGCAGCAGGCTGGGCCCTGCTACTTTGAAGCATAAGGGATTGTCATGACTCAGCTTGGTGGCCTAACAGCTCTATCAAGGGAGTAATCACAGACATCTTCTGTTGTTTCAGAAAAATGTATCTCAAGGGATTTCAAACTCAAGCTATATATCAGTGCATTTTTGAGTTTTTGGTATTTTAGATGCCAAAATCCATAAAGACCAATTAAAGTAACATGAATCTGGGATTTCTCTCATTTTCCCAAGTTATTCCAAAGAGAAAAGAGCAGCCAGGTTGAAGCCACCAACTCCCACCCTCACTTAATTGATAACTAAGTCCTGGAGAGGGAAAGTGAAAATCTAAGCTCACATGGTTTCTGAGTAAAAAAGCCATAAGGTGAAATATTTCCTACATGTCAGCAGCTTCTCTAAGTGTGTTATATGACCTCATTCCTTCAGTAACGCAAGTCTACATAGTAGGCTATCAGGAAGAGGGTATCATGTGAGGCCCCTGTGTGGTGTAAGGATGAAGCCACTCCTCTTGTCCCTCTCTGTTGAGGTGAGGGGGTTGTGAGAAAACTTGCAACACCACACCTAGGAAGGAAAATGATAATATCCTTATAACTAATTCATCATCAAATTCAGCAGGCCTCCTCCAGGGAGGAGTTTAATATGTGTTACATTCATTTATGCTGTGGAATTTTGTTTAATGATGCAAAGATGTGTTGCATTATTGATTATGCTTACCTCTGTAAAGCTGTGTTACTTTGCCTGTCTAAAATATCTGATTGGTCTAATAAAGAGCAAAATAACCAATAGCTAGGCCGGAGAGAAAAATATGTGGGACTAGCAGGCAAAGAGAATAAATAGGAAGAGAAATCTAGGCTAAAGAGAAGGGGGACATGAGAAAGGGAGAAGAAGAAAAATACTCCAGGGGCCAGTCACACAGCCATACAGCTAGCAATGGAGTAAGAAGGAAACAAAGATACAAACAATGACATCATGAAATTTGCAGACAAATGGAGGGAACTACAAAAAATCATCCTGAGGTAACCCAGACTCAGAAAGAAAAGCATGGTACTCAAAAGTAGACAATATGTTTAAAGCAAAAAGATAACCAGACCATAACCCATAGTTTCAGAGCTACAAGTTAACAAGGAGGACCCTAAGAGGGACTCAATGATCAACCTGGAGATAAATGGGATATCCTTGTTTAACTTGGGGTGGGGGACAGTAAAGAGGAGGGGATGGGGGGTGAGAACATAAGGGAATGGGATGGTCAAGTTGGGGGAGGGATGAAGTTGGACAGCAATGAAAGAAATTTTGATAGAGGGAGCCATTATGGGGACATGTAGAAACCTGGCGCTTGTATAATTCCCAAGAATCCGCAAGGACGACCCCAGCTAAGAATCCTAGTAATAGTGCAGAAGGTAACTGAACCCTGTAATCAGAGTGCTGAATGCCCTAACTGTCATCATAGAGCCTTCATCCAGTAACTGACAGAAGCAGATGCAGTGATCCATGGTCAAGCACCAGGCCAAGCTCCAGGAGTCCAGTCAAAGAGAGGGAGGACAGATTATATTAGCATGGGGATAGGGTTAATGTCAGTATGGGGAAACCTACAGGGACAGCTAAACCAAGCTCTTGGAAACTCACAAACTCTAGACCAACAGTTATAGAGCCTGCATGGGACCACGCTTGATCCTCTCCATGTGGGAAACAGTTGTATGGCTTGGTCCATGTGGGGGGATCCTGGCAGTGGGACCAGAATCTGCCTTCTTGCAGCCCTTTTCCTATGGTGGGATGCCTTATTCGAGCTTAATGCAAAGTGAAGTGTGTTTGTCCTGCCTCAACTTGATGCACCAGCGTTTGTTGACTTTCAATGAGAGGCTTACTCTTTTGGAGGGGTGGTGAGTGGGTGGTGGGTAGGGTGTAGGTAGGGGATGGTGGTGGGAGGAGAAACTGTTTTGCATGTAAGATAAGAAAATAAATAAATAAAATTGTTTCTATGAGATGGAAGCCCAAATACAAAACATAGTCAAAGAGAAATGGGATAATTTAAGTTAGAAAATCTGGCTAGAAACAAGCCAAGTTATGACCTAAGAACAGGACTCTGGGCATTTATTTGGGAGCTGGGTGGCAGGACCCCAAAGAGTAGAAAACCAATTACAGGCATATGTTTTGCTGCCAGGACTAAGGCTATAGCATTGATTTAGTGGTCACAAATTGAAAGAAATGAAACACTCATGATCTGGGATCTGAATTAGTATATCTCCAGCTGCTGAGCTATGATGCTTTGTTTATATGGAGAAACAGTTCTCAGTTCTAGTGTGGCTGACATTTGGGTAGCTTTCCCATTACTACTATTAGCATCTGAATGTGAGGAACATCTTGAAACCTTGGCGATCTTGATGATGAATGAAAATGCTGGATAATTTTCAGAAATTCTGTCCCAGCATCTCTTATGCACTAGACTCCTATATGGATATGGTGTCCTTTGCATGAACAGCAAGAAACTGGCCTGCAGTCAGATGTGGGTTCAAGGCCAGATCCCATCACTAACTGGCTATGTGATTATGGACAGGGTTCAGTCAAACTGGGCTCAAACATGGCTGTGCCTCATAATCGGACTGTCCTTTGTGCTATAAAATTACCAAAATCAAGACCAAGAATTAAGACTTCAGTTCTATGTCAGGACGTTCAAAGTGAATGTCCTGATGCCTTTGCTGGTGATTAGAGATCATCTATGTGGTGACTAACTCCAGGTCTTAAGTCTACATTGCCCAGAACCTTCAGTGTCTATGCAAGTAAAATAAAAAAAAATGTTTCCAGACAGACCCAAGACAAAGGGTGAAATATTCCGCAGTGAATGTGGGCATATACAGTAGGATGTCAGTGTGCTGTGGATGAAGAGAAAATGAGAAAAGCAAACTGTGTCCTGGCCTTGTCACTTTCTGCCTTGATTTGCTTCTTGGGTAAAGAGCTCTTGCTTGCCTGCTTCTTGCCATCTCATTTGACATCTGGAGTAGAACCTGGCACACACTAGTTCCTAGGTTGTTTGGGAAGAAAGAGAAGAATTAATCAGGTGAGGTAATACATTCTGGAGGCAGTAGCCTAGGTTTGACCCTGTCATTGAACATGGCATCAGCTATCTTTATGAAGCCACTAGACTGGGCCAGATAAAGAAAGATAAGCATTGTGAGGCAGACAAGGGTACAGATTTACCCCAGTTAACAGAAGTGGCAGCTTTAGCAAACAGCATGTCTGTCTACTCCTATACTTTTTTTGGTCCACAGTTGGGGTAAATTCACCCTATAAACAGGAGGGTCACTTACAGGCTCGCTTCTTCCTTGTTGCTCACAGAATCTTGGACACATGCTGAGCTCTTGGGGATATGAGGGGTGAGGAGGACAATGCAGTACTCACCAAGCACATACAACACTGTGCCTCTCCCAGACTGAAGCTCCTTGTCAGCTTCTGCTCTGAGGAGCTTCACACAGTAGTAGGTACCAGCATCGGCAGGTGAGACATTACTGATGCGGATGGAAAAGTCCAGGTTGTTTCTCTTTGTAACATCTGTAAGATTTGTGATTCTGGGGAACGTCTCTCCTGTGAAACTATATATGAGATGCCTACTCTGTCCTGTACCCCTGAACCACTTAACGGGCCCCACAGGAAGCAGAGAGGTCACAGTGCAGTTCAGAGTGGCTGACTCTCCAGCAGCAACAGAAACTGATGGCTCAGGCTGAATCACCTTCAGCTCCCGTGTAGCTGCTCCTGCAGGAAACATCGGTTAGTGCTCATCATGATGAAAACCCACAGGTTGCTCTAGTTTGTGATCAAATACTGTTTCTCACTAGAGCATACCATACACATGATCACAGTTCCTCCATATTGGTCCTCTAACACAAGGATATAATGGATGAGGAAACTGAATCACAAAGACACTGAGTATTTTGATTGAAGCCCAAATTCTGTTTGGAATTCTCATGTTTCATCCAGTGTCTGTTTTATTTTCATTTTCTGTGAATATGGCATGAGGCATTTTTATGTAATAGTCATAGGTGTGATTATGTGACTGTTCCGACCAGTGAGATGTGAACATAGTGCTAGGTATATTTAGTGAGATGGACATTTGATTTTTACAAGATTATTTGGGTCAGGCCTGCTGCTCAAGTTGGAGGTGTTTACCAGACTGAATGAAAATTTCACAGAAAGCACCCAATGTAAAAGAACATGCACATTAACTAGAGAAATAAAACATCGCTTTATGTTACCAGTTACAAAAATATGTATTATGCTCACATTAATTATCTGATTAATTTAAATGTGTGTAAGTATTTTCTTCCATTTATGTCTGTGCACCAAATGCACACATACTGGTCAAGGAAGCTAGAAGAGGGTATCAGAGCCTTGGAACTGACATTATGTACAGTTCTAAGTCATCATTGAACCTGGGTCCTGTGGAAGAGCAGCAAGTGGTTTTAATCCCTGAACCATCTCTCCAGACTCAGCATTATATTAACTTTAAGGATAATATAAGACATTCCTATAAAGTTTGTGGTTTGACACATCAGAAACACTGATTCATGCTTTGGAGGTCAGAAGTTCTAATTTGGTGTAATAAGGAGATATCACAGGGTCACAGCACCTACCCTCTTGGAGGCCCTGATTACCTTGCACATGGTGTGGTCTCCTGGCTATACTCCCTGTAGTCACCTGTCTTGCTATCACAACACCCTACTTGCTCAGTAACTCTGAGTCCCATAACCTTGACAGTTCTGCCTCCTTCTTGCCTAGACATTGATGATCTTGTTGGTGTACTGTATAGTACTCACTGCACTACACTAATGAACCAAAACTATACAGCATCCATTTGAGATATGAAAAGAACAAAGGGAAAGTATGAAGAAGCACTAAGAAAATAAAGACTCTAAATAGCAAAATATAACACCAAATGAGAGAAACTGAGAAGGAATCAAATCAATTGAGGATTCAAGGAGTATATACCTTATTAGCCCAATGGACAGGGTCCACAGTTGATGTAGCAGTTTCCAGAAAAACAAACAAACAAAAAACAAACAAATCCTAAAATTATGGATATAGATACTGCAACATTACTCAGTCAGCACAGCAGGGGCACAATAAAGAGGTCCAATAAAGGGAAGCAATTAAGAATTTGAAGTGCATTTACAAGATTATTGAAAAAAATTCTGCTTTCTAACACTTGCCTGGTTTGTTAAAATATAAGAACTACAAATGCAACAAACTGAACTAATTCTGTGTGAGATAAATTCAGAAAGACTCACACCAGCACACACTAGAATCTATCAGACAAATTAGAGTAGTCAGAGAATGCTGAGAACAGGTTAAAGCATAACTCATTATATCCTACTAAATGTTGTGAACACAGCTCTTATAATAAATGTCAATATCCAGGGAGCAATGAAATAGTGTGTGTATTCACAGTTCTAGAGAAATGCATCCAGATTTTAAGTATACTAAGGATTACACACATAGCAGCACTATAGGTACAACAACAGGGAGTAAAAATTTGAGTTCATTATAACAATATCAGCCATGGGGGAATGCTAATTGACTTTTCTTCGGTTGAAATAAAGGATTCCAGAGAATAAGGTGCAGTTTAAAAGACAATACAACCCTGGCTGTATGGTGAATTTTAAAGTTTCATAAAGTATCCTGTGTTCTATCTTCAACTTAGCTGTTTCATAATAGTGGCTCTAGTCTTCTACCTTCATAGCTTTAGGGAAGGTCATACACCTGGAGCTGCTAGGAAGACTGGGGAATGGGATCAGAACTCACATCACTGTTATGTCTCAAACAAGAATATCTAATGTGGAAAATCAGCTTCCCTAGATAACTGAAGCCAAAAGCCAAAAAGGAACTTCATAAAATTAAAATCTTGTGTAATGAGAGAATGCAAAATCTAGAAAACATGTGGATAATCTTAGAATACTTACTGATTAAAAAATGAAATATGTGAAAAATAATGGAAGTGGATTACAACATATGAGCCTATGCAGTAATTTATATTTTGGAGAAGCTATGTACACCAATTATATAAGTAATCTTGTCAAAGTTCTATAATTTGTTCCATCTGGAAATCCAAAATCTATAATAAATTTATAGACTAAAATTTTTGTTAGAAAATGCCATAAAGATTAAAAAGATTAATTAGCTTTGGACTAAGATAACATACGTTCAGAATTTGAAAAATGTAGTAACTCTCAAAAATTCGTGGACTGATTTAATATAGTATTTAAAACTTCAAATTTTATTCATTAATGGAACCTATAGTATTGAAACAGAAGTAAAACAGGTAATAGAGAAGTAGTATGTATGGCCTGCCTGTCCAGTAGACCTGCTTAAACATGACACATTTGCAGTAGCCATTCCTCTGCAATATTTCTTATTAGCATAGATGCTCTAACTTAATGAATGGAAACTAAAATGAAATAATGGTTTTGTCACTTACAAAGTAGTTTGATAAATTTAATTCTATAAAGGTAAAATGACAAGTATGGGGAGATTTGAACGTCAGTGTCACCTGTCCAGGACCCACCTCATCTCTCAGAAAGAACTAAATCAGTAGTCATCTGGTCTTTGAGGCAGCCAACTATGGGACAGGGAAGGAAGTTATCAAGGGAGAGACTAGAACCTTGTTTCTCTGGGATGAGAGCATAGAAATCTGAACTAAGTGTCCTGACAACAGTAGAATCTGCTTTGCAGAGTGAATTTGTGCATCTCTTCTAACTTGGTTTGCATTGTGTGAGTGATCATAGCTAGGGGAAGCATCCAGTCCTTACAGGCTTCAGCTGCTTTATGGAGACCAGCTGGAGTCTGCACAGTAGCTTTGTTAGGGAGAAACTCCATCCATCTTATTATCTGTTCCATGCCCAGAGCCCAGGTTACAGTAGCTGTGTGCTATCTAAGCAAGGGAAGTGTTGCTGACATCACACAAGTAGGTTGTAGAAAGTCAGTTCTTCATATCCTCATCTATGAGTCCACAGAAACACAGGACACTAGCACAGGGGTTGCAGCAGTGACGTACCTCATATTGTGACTGTATTGGAACAGGGTCCTTAAAGAGCTATAGGTCAATTGAGGTCATTCAGGTGCTAATTAATCCAAACTGACTGGAGAAGACCCACAGAGACAAGCTGAGGCAAGGTCATGTATGAACACAGAAGGAGAAGGTACAATTTACCACAGAAGAGGCATCATGGAAGATGAAAAAATAATAGTACAGCCTCACATAGCAGCACAGGGGGGGGGGGACTGAGGTCAGATGGGGAAGGAACTGGAAGACAGAGGACAGAGGACAGAGGACAGAATGAGGAACCTAACTGAGAAGGAATGGTGACTGGTCATTGCCAGGGACTCTTCACCCACAGCCCTGTCACTGCCTGCATGTGAGGCTCAGTGTCTCACTAAGTGAGCAGAGAGCTCATGCTGGGACAAGAGCAGTTCCACCAGCTGCTTTGCAGGTGACTTCTTGGCTCTGGTGGGCCTCAGAGTTACAGTGGGATTCTGCTGAGAAGAATTTTGTCAGATGACATAGTAGAAATGACTGTTTCTGAAGCATTATCTGAGAGGATGCTTTTACCCACCTGTCACAACTGGTGTAATCTCAGAGCAGAGCTGAGGAGTTTGGCTGTTGACCCTCAGACAATGTTTGACCTTCCCTCCTGAGGCAGTCCTTGTACTTACCTGAAGTCCTTTCATTCCACTGAAAGGGGTAAACAGGCAGAGAGATGAGTGTACTCCTGGGAAATGCTCACCTGTGAGTCCCAGTAGTATGGTCAGCAGCAGGACACTGTGTGGAATGCGTGGCCAGAAGTCAACATTCAGCATGTTGAGAGCTAAGGAGCTTTCTCAGCCCAGTGTCTATGTTGGAGAGATCACAGGTTCTGATCTGCAGAGGAAAGAGATGCTGTGCCTTACTCTGAATAAAGGATGTGACTGTGTTATGGTGAAACAGGAACCATATCCGTTGTTTTGAAACAGAGACACAGTGTTTCAGACAGCCTTAAGGGTGGAGTTACTCATTTTCAGAAGAACTCAGGTAAGTCTAGGAAAAGTAATCCCTTCTTCTCTGGGTTCTATATTGTATCCATTTGTTCTCAGAATATTTTCTCTTAGTTCAACACCAACTGTAATTCAGGACATAACAATTTTTCCAAACACCTATTTCTAAAACCCTTCCTGTTGATTTGAGGCCCATTCCTTCCAGTGTCACTTGGGAATTCTCACTTAAGCTCTTAACGATGCTTGGGAGAGCAGCTCAGTGCTGGAGTAAACTAGCTGTACTCCTGGAATGACCTTTAGAAATCCTTCATTGATCCTGGTAAATGAAGTCCAAGGGAAGATTAGGACTCAATATGCTGACTCAAATTTATCAGAATATGCTAGGATTTGTTTTGCTTGTCAAATTGACAGAGGAGAAGCATGTCTCTGGAAACATCAGTGAGAGAATGTTTAGTTTTACTATGTCTCTGACTGTCTGTGAAGCCTTGTCCTTTATTAATTGATCTGGGGAAACACATCTTAATTTTAGTGTCGTTTTAAGACAGAAAGTATAGTATTTGTGCTAGACAACTTTCCAGTACTGAAACAATGTCTTAGATAAACTAACTAGTAAAGTAGAAGCTGCACTGAAATTTTGACCAGAATAATTTCCTAAGAAAATAGTATTTAAACTTTAAATTGCAGAGGGTCATATAATACAAGAATACTTACAGTAAATCATTTCCTTCTGTTCTTATTTATGGATACAATGTGACTCTCTGCCTCAATATCTTGCCACTTTGAATTCACTGCAATGATGAAGTGTAAGTTGGAGATGTGATCCAAATAAACACTTGCTTTATTAAGTTTTCTTTTCTAGGGCATTTTATCATAACATTAAAAATCCCTCCAGAGAGCAAGTAAGAACACTTTAATAAATGTATTCTTTTTTATTTTAATATATATATATTATTTTAAATTTAAATTAGAAACAAGTTTGCTTCACATGTCAATTCCAGGTCCCTCTCCATTTCCCTTCCCTCCTCCTGTGCCCTCCTACTAACCCTCCCCAATATCCCCTCATTTCCCCAGGGAGGGTGAGGCCCTCCATGGGGGTGTCCATACTCTGTCATTTCATCTAGGGCAGGGCCTGGAACTCCCCCCAAGAGTTCAGGGTGAGAGTGCATCTCTCATGGTTGGATGGGAGTCCAAAGTTCATTTGTATACTCGGGATAAATACTGATCTACTACCCAAGGCTCAATAGATTACCTAGGCCTCCTCACTGACACCCACATTCACGGGGTCTTGATCAGTCCCATGCTGGATTCCCAGGCATCAGTCTGGAATTCAAGAGCTAACCCTGGTCAGGTCATCTGTTTCTGGAGGTTAAACCCTCCCAGTCTTAATCCCTTTGGTCATAAGTTCTCCCTCTCTGTCACTGGATTTCTTGAGTTCAGCTCAGTTCTTAGCCTTGGGAGTCTGCCTCTGCTTCCATCAGACACTGAAAGAAGGTTCTGTTTCCCAGACTCACTGGCCATGGGACTGTGGCTGGCACTCCCAGATATAGGGCTAAAATCCATATATGAAGAGTACATGCCATGTTTCTCTTTTTTGTGACTGGGTTACCTCAGTCTGGATGGTTTCTTCTAGTGCCATCCATTTGCCTGAAAATTTCAAGATTCCATTGTTTTTTTTCTGCTGAATAGTACTCCATTTTGTAAATGTACCAAATTTTCTCTATCCACTCTTCGCTTCAGGGGTATCTAGGTTGCTTCCAAGTTCTGGCTATTACAAATAATGCTGCTATGAACATAGTGGAACAGACATCCTTGTTGCATGAATGGGCATCTTTTGGATATATGCCTAAGAGTGGAGTTGCTGGGTCTTGTGGTAGGTTTATTCCCATTTTTCTGAGGAATCTCCATACTGATTTCCTAAGTGGCTGTACAAGTGGACACTCCCACCAGCAGTGGAGGAGTGTTCCCCTTTCACCACGTCCTCTCCAGCATAAATTGTCTTTGGTGTTTTTGATTTTAGCCTTTCTGACAGGAGTGAGATGGTATCTCAGAATTGTTTGATTTGCATTTCCCGGATAGCTAAGGATGTTGAGCAATTTCTTAAGTGCCTCTCAGCAATTTTAGACTCCTCTATTGAAAATTCTCTATTTAGTTCTGCAGCCCACTTTTTAATTGGATCATTTGGTGTTTTGCAGACTTGCTTCTTGAGTTCTTTGTAAATTTTGGAGATCAACCCTCTGTCAGATGTGGGGTTAGTGAATATTTTTTCCCATTCTGTGGGCTTCCTTTTTGTCTTGCTGACTGTGTCCTTTGCCTTACAGAAGCTTCTCAGTTTCAGTAGGTCCCATTTATTAATTGTTGATCTCACTGTCTGTGCTAGTGGTGTTATGTTCAGGAAGCTGTCTCCTGTACCAATTCATTCAAGGGTACCACCCACTTTCTCTTCTAAGAGGTTCAGTGTGGCTGGATTTATGTTGACGTCTTTGATCCATTTACATTTAAGTTTTGTGCATGGCGATAGACATGGATTTATCCACATTCTTCTACATGCCAGCATGCAGTTATGCCAGCACCATTTGTTGAAGATGCTTTCTTTTTTCCATTGTATATTTTTAGCTTCTTTGTCAAAGATGAGATGTTCATACATGTGTTAATATCAGGGATTTTCCTATATCCTCTTTTAGGGCCTCTATCATTTTCATGAAATTGTTTTTAAGGTCATTCTCTTCTGCTTCATTTGCATGGGAATGTTGTAGTCTTGCTGGTGTGGAGTCTCTAGAATCTGGTGGTGTCATATTTGTTTTTTTGTTGCTGAGTGTTTTTTGTTGTTGTTGTTGTTTCTCTTTCCCATCTCTTCTTGTGGGTGCAGAAAGAGCCCCTTACTGGTGTGGTGGTTATGGGACCAGAGTTCCCTTTCGGTGGGTGCAAGCAAGTCCATTAGTCTGGTACTTCTATTCCTCATCCTTGTTCTGGTCCCATTGGTGGAGAAGAAGACCAGGAATCTTAAGTTTGCAGTCTCCCACCAGGTCCCCTTGTCTCATTGGTGGAAGAGAAGACCTGGGATCTGGGGTGCTTGGCTTCTGCAGCTCTGTGGCAGTCCCCAGGCAATCCCCAGGCACTGGAATACAGGCCTGGATGCAGGGCCTGTTTTACCTGGTCCCTCCACCAGACCTGTTGGCCCCCCTTCTCTTTATTGAGTGTTTTTGCATCAATGTTTGCGAGGGAAATTGGTCTGCAGTTCTCTTTCTTATTTGTATCTTTGTGTGGCTTGGATACCAAGGTAATTGTAGCCTGATTAAAAGAGTTTTGCAATGAACTTCCTGCTTCTATTGTATGGAACCCTTTGTAGAGTAATGGAATTAGGTCTTTGAATTTCTGGTAGAATTCTGAACTGAAGCCATTTGGGCTTGGGTTTTTTTGTTTTGGGAGACTTTTGATGACTGCTTCTATTTCATTAGGGGTTTTAGGTCTGTTTAGCTTGCATATCTGTTCTTGATTTAATTTTGGCAAGTGATATTTATCAAGAAAATTGCCCATTTCCTTTAAATTTTTGAATTTTGTGGAGTATAGATTTTCAAAGTATGACCTGATGATTCTCTGGATTTCCTCAGTGTCTATTATTATGTCTCCCTTTTCGTTTCTGATTTTGTTAATTAACATGCCTTTTGGTTATTTTGGTAAAGGTTTGGAAAATCTTGCTGATTTTCTCAAAGAACCAATTCTTTGTTTCATTGATTGTTTGCAATGTTTTCCTCGTATCAACTTTGTTGATTTCAGCCCTCAATTTGATTATTTCCAAGCATCTACTCCTCCTAGGTAAGTTTGCTTCTTTTTGTTCTAAAGATTTCAGTAGTGCTGTTCATTCTCTAGTGTGACTATTCTCTAATTTCTTCATGTGGGCACTTAGTTCTATGATCTTTTCTCTCAGCACTGCTTTCAAAGTGTACCATAAGTTTGGGTATGTTGTGTCTTCATTCTCATTGAATCCCAGGAAGTGTTTAATTTCTGTTTTTATTTCTTCCTTGACCCAGGGATGGTGTAATTGTGCTTTGTTCAATTTCCAAGAGTTTGTAGGGTTTCTGTTGTTTAATTTTAAATCAAGGTGGCCCAATAAGATACAGGGGGTTATTCCAATTTTCTTGTATCTGCGGTGGTTTGGCATGTTTCCAATTATGTGGTCGATTTTAGAGAAGGTTCCGTGTGGAGCTGAGAAGAAGATAGATTCTTTTCTGTTTAGATGGAACGTTTTATAAGTGTCTGTTAATCCCAATTGGGTCATAATTTCTGTTATTTCTTTTGTTTCTTTATTAAGTTTCTCTCTGTAGGTCCTGTCTAGTGGTGAGAGCACAGTGTTGAAATCTCCTACTACTAGTGTGTGAGATTTTATGTGTGATTTGAGCTTTTGTAATTTTTTAAACAAATGTAGTTGCCCTTGTATTTGGTCATAGATGGTCAAAATTGAGACTTCATCTTGGTGGACTTTTCCTGGGATGAATACGAAATGTCCTTCTCTATCTCTTTTGGTTGATCTTAGTTTGAAGTCTAATTTGATAGATATTAGCTTGTCTCTTGGATCCCTTTGATTGGAAAATCTTTTCCTAGCCATCTACTCTGAGGTAACTGTAGGAGGAAGCCTGTATGCCGCCATTAGCTATGTGACTTACTAGAGGCGCATACAGATGAGGTAATAAAAGAGCTGTTTACCACACCGCTAACCACACCCACTTTAGGCATGACTAAAGACGTATACGGACAGACGTAAAGACATATACGTATGTAGGCAGTGAACTACGTCATTAGCCAGGCCTACTTTTGGGCATGGCTAGGGAGCGTTACAGGGGAAGACATAAAAGCCTGAAGAACGGAAGTCTTGGTCTCTTTTTCTGGATTTCGGCAGTGGAAAACTACTGGGCTCATCTGGGTTA